TAAGGATTGTGATGAATTAGAGCGTCTACCAAGTGGGCTTTCATCCTGCACTGCTCTGGAGGTATTGTGGATAACAAGATGCTCTAATTTGGTTTTTATTCCTGAAGAATTGAAACAGTTACAGTCTCTTGTTGAGTTGGTTTTTGGAAATTGTCCAAAATTGAAATTTATTCCAAGTTTGGAAGGACTTGTCTTTCTGAAAAAAGTATCTATTATCCATTGTGATGAATTAGAGCGTCTATTGGGTGGGCTTTCATATTGCACTGCTCTGGAGAAATTGTGGATAACAAGATGCTCTAATTTGGTTTCTATTGCTGAAGAATTAAAACAATTGAAGTCGCTTGTTGAGTTGGTTTTTAGAAATTGTCCAAAATTGAAGTTTATTCCAAATCTAGAAGGACTTGTCTCTCTTAAAACAGTAAATATTGCCAATTGTGATGAATTAGAGCATCTACCGGGTGGACTCTCATCTTGCACTGCTCTTGAGAAATTGTGGATAACAAGATGCTCTAATTTGGTTTCTATTCCTGAAGAATTGAAACAGTTGCAGTCTCTTGTCAAGTTGGATATTTGGGAATGTCGAAAATTGAGGAGCTTCCCAGAGGAGATCTTGGGCTCTCTTTCCAGCTTGAAGACATTAGGGCTTGGCCTTTTCTCAGAAGAGCTGGAGGAATTCCCAGATTTGAGTTCCACTTCCTCCCTTGAAGTCTTGCGTTTGGAAGGATGGGGGGAATCGGTAACTCTGCCACGTCAAATTCATCGCCTCACTGCTCTCAGGAACTTAACCATCACAAGCATCAATGGAGTGGAAGAAGCTTTATTGGAAAACCTTTCTTGTCTTAAAACACTTGAAATTCAAAATTGTTGTCGGTTAGGGTGTCTATCTGGTGGGCTGTCATCTGTTGAGGAGCTGGTGATAGCAAATTGCCCTAATCTGGTCTCTTTCCAAGGAGAGTTCAAGGAATTGCGTTCTCTACGAATTTCAAGTTATCCAAAATTGGGGTGCTTCCTAGAGGAGAGTCTCGCCTGCTGCACTAGGTTGAAGAGATTATGGATCGACCGTTTCTCAGATGAGCTGGAAGAATTTCCAAGTCTGAGTTCTATCCCTGCCTCCCTTGAAGATTTGACATTGACGGGATGGGAAAAACTAACTCACCTCCCAGAAATTCAACACCTCACTGCTCTAAAGAAGTTGAGTATAAGGGACTTCGGTGGAATGGAATCTTTGCCAGACTGGTTTAACAACTTGTCCTCCCTTCGACTACTTTCTATTTGGGACTGCACAAACAAGTTAAAGGAAAGATGCACCAAGGGAAGCGGTCCTGACTGGCACAAGATTTCTCACGTTCCATACATCCGAATAGATCGCAAGGTCGTCCAATTCCAATCCAAACACTGAGCCAAAGAGGTTTGTGTTTCATTTTTCTCACAACTGCACTTGTTTGAATTCTCAACACGAAAAAGTAAAATCTCTCCCCTCATCCTCTATCAATTAACTTGATTGATGCTGCTCTCTCCATTGCTGTTGGGTGCCACCAATTAATGTTATCCCATCAAAATTATTTATTCTTTCTCTCAAACCATATATAAATTCATGTTTTCTTTTTCTTATTTTTGATTCATTCTTACACTGCATGTAGATGTGGTTAATTACGAGTGAATAAACAATGAGTTGATGGAATGATGATTTCTAGAATTCTGAATTGAAATCCTACAAGCTTCAATGTTGAGGTAATTAATTCGTCGCTCTTCACTTGATCAATTTAACTCATCTTACACATTTGAGGAGTGTGAGGACAAGCAGAATTTTGCTTCAACATGGAAATGAACTGCTGCATTTCTTGCTTTTTGAAATTTTATCTGATATTCCAAAGATGGCATGGCAGGAGGAGAGGAAGGATAGCAGTAGTGTTTGCTAAGCCAAAGACAATTCTGGTATGCTTACTAGAATTTTCCATGGGTTTAACATTTAAGCATTTAGGTTCTGCACTTGAGTATGTCTTAATATGATAAAACAAACTAATCATACCTACTTGGAAATTTGGATCATGCAGTCTGTTCTTCGAGGGGTTCAGTATGCTGTCTCTTGTTTTGTTTGTGCATAACTGTGTTTTTTCAAATTATCACAACCCTCGGTCCGTGAAAGGAGGGATCCCAATGTAGTAATGTCACCATAAAAAATTAAGTTTATTTGATTCTTGTTGACTAAGCACCTTTTAAAAGTTTTTGAGGTGTTCTTGTGAAGTAGAGGTTGCATAAGAATATACAATACTCATGCATTTTATGGTTGCAGCTTTGCAGGCACCAACCAAACAATTTTGCATCTTGTATTCAAGCTTCTAAAGAACCTGAGGTTTCAGTCTTGAAAAAAAGAATCTGAGGTTGTTTGAGATTCTCTACTGGGGACTTTGTATTCAAGCTTTTGTTTCACTTTTGATGTTTCTGTACTCATTTACCATTATTTGTTTTTGCAGATTTGATATCTGCTTGTTTGTTTTCCATAATCACTACTGATTTTCCGTCAAAAGCATCCATATGGTAAGTCACAAGAAAGAAATGAATTTAGTTCTTAGTTACGAGATTCATAAATGAGAGTGATTGCAATTAAGAGATTACGTGTTTGTTTTAGGGTCTATGTTTTTTTCAACGTAAACTCTTATCTGCTCATGAGAATGGGGTGAGTAATGATTTCACCTTGGTAATGCAGGAGTCTTTATAACTTGTTCTGCAGATAAACGGGTGGATGGCAACTATCAGAGTGCTGCTAAAATTGCAGACAGAAGCATCTTCGTTTGATGTTATGCTACCTGCTCACACAAGCCACAACAAATACAAGGGATTACAAGGACGCACATCACTTTTTGCCATGTCCTTTTGCAGTTGTAGTCATGAACACCTGTCCCCTATGGTCATGTCCACAACAGATAGAAATACTTGTGTTTTGGATATTGATTCATAGATAGCATGAAATTAAAGTGTTGATTTTCATGTTGCTAATTTTCATGCTTTCTGATACACCAAGAGGATTTCGATTTGAATTAGTTCTTGTTGCGGCAATGGTATTATAATTCACCTTTGGCAACACGGGACAGGTGATACTCAGATTTAGATTGACCTCCTTGTAAACACCATTGAAGCTGCTTTCTATGCTTCTTTATGCATTAAGGTTTGTTCAAAGAACCTCCAGTGATATTTACATAACCAGAGTTGCCACCAACGACAATGAGAAAATTCTTTTATGCTTAACATCTTATATGTCTTCAGATATGTGTCATCTAATTAAGATCTCTTGACCCACCTCTTTTTGAGTGAATATAGGTTTCTTTTATTACTTTTCATTAAAAAATTTTACTTTATTTTTTCTTCCTGTTAGCAGAAATTTTGCATTACATATGAATGAGGAATAAAATACTTTAAATAACCAAATAAGCAAATTTTATTCTATCCAGCAATCCTCCATCAAACACACTGCTAATGACTTAAACAACTTTCTTAAAACACCTCGATATGCCAAGTAAAAGATAATAGAATTTTCAG